ATTCCTGCTCTGGCTTGGCCATAGCCCACGTGCAGATTGACATCATCCATTCACCTGACATGTCTGAGGCCCACTTAAACTCAGGCAGGGCCCCGTGCTACAGACAACATATTGAATGATATATTCTTGTCCTGAGATTGTCAAAAGAGCTTATAAGTGTTCCACCTAAAGCACTAAGGAAAAGCAGACACCCATTGCAGTGAAGCCACTTGGTTCTTGTTGAGTGAGAAAAGCTCAGTTCTCAACCAAACACCAATACTTCCTATCAATCTGCTAAAATATCCAGTTCAGCCAATAAAATGGCAGTTGGGGAGTTTAGCAGAGTCTGTGCTGTGTTTAATAAATTCCTGATTTGTTAGAACAGGTTATATTTGACTCCCCAAACTTGAGGAGAGAGTTGAGATGCTGGAATATTCATTCCCATTGCAGCTCTGCCATAAAGGAGTAGTTATCAACTTAGGAAGGTCCTCTGCCTTGATTGCCACTACTGTTGTATGAAAATTATGAACAAGCCCAAGTTTTGTGAAAGTCCAACCCACTGTCTCTAACTAACAAGCAGGAGTGACTCCAGATGACTAAGTTAGTGAGCTTAATTAAAGTAAGAATTATAGATAACAGTAGAAGAATAAACACTGTCCTAACTGGAATGGTTCTAGAACCATCTTTGGTTCTACAGAGAACGTGCAACAGGATTTTGAGTCATTTCCATAGAGATCCTTTCTGAATTGAGGACTTTTTGTAGTTGTTGAGACTCATTTCTCTAATCCTTAAAACAAACATTAGCTTGAAATCTATTAAAATAATGCTATGTAATTTATAATTTTCTTTTCGAAAACAAGTATTTTGGATCATTTTTGTGTAGATAATTATTTTAACTAACTTTGTATTTATCTAAAAATGTCAGAAGATATGTACTAAAGGGTATCAAGTTATACCTACAGTTGGTTCTGTGGACCTGCCCTGGGGTTATCTGTGCACAAATCAGGATGTGGAAAAGGTGCCTGGAGTTCGGTGAATTACACTGCACACAACTTTGTTTGCTCATGTAATGCTCACCCCAAAAGAGAGGGAATAATGCAGCACAGGCCATCCTTGGACAGATCTTCTGTTAGGCAGTAACACCAGGGCCTTTTAGTTATTCAGGAATATAGAATGATATAGTAAAGTAACAAGGGAGAAAGCCCCAATCAGTCACCAGCTTTCAACCTCTGGCTCAACTTTATAGTGCAAATGAGCAGGGTACTGAATTGATTATTTCACTCCTTTGCATGGCTCCCTACCCCCTTTGCCAACCAAGAGATCAGGCAGCCAGGATAGCAGAGGAGGAAAAAGGAATACGACTATTTCAGGTACAATACATATGAATCCATCTCCAGAATTAGAGGATTAATTAACCAATGGTACAGATAATTTAGAAGGCACGTTTAGCATAGACATGGATTCTTTTATGTTAAGAAGGAAAGAGCCCAGCATAGCAATTCCCCTTTATCCTGTATATCCTCCTTTATTTTACAGCCTTCAACATCCTGGTGAATGTTGGTGTGGTGCTGACATACCCAATCCTCATCTCCATCGGAACAGTGCTCAGCGTTCCTGGAAATGCAGGTACTGTACGATTTGACGTGTGCACAGGAAGTCTCCTGCTTGTGTTTGTTTTATACCCTGAATTGTTTCTTCGAGCAATTGTGAATTATGTCACTTGCCTGGGAAGACGTTTTTAAATATCATGAAGGTGGCAGACAACAGAATAACTATGCATCACATTTAAAATTTCCAGCTACAAACACTGTTTTAATTTGGTTGTGCTTTTAGAATTAAATACCAAGTGTATCATTTGGGTTTCATGTAATCTCCCTGACAACCTAATTTTGTGGTATTTTTAGAGGAAGTCCTATGGAAACAAAAGGCATCCCAGCATAGGACTCTCAAACATCACTAATGAAAGTGTAGGAAACATACAAGGTGTTGGCACCCCATCACACTATCCATGGGGAGCTGTGAAAGATTCTCCTGGGGGCACAGCAGATGGCCCTCTGGAACAGACATAAGAAAAAAGCAATTTGACTCACTTCAGGGACAAGAGGAGAAGCTACTTTTCCAGGAAAATCTTTCTAGGTAAACTGTCCGTGGAACGAATAATGAAAGTGGGTTATCTGGATGACTGTAGAGTCCTTCTAATTTTAAAATTCCATTTTTCCAAGTCTTAGGTAGCCATCTTTCTTTACCCCCAGTACAATCAGCAAATATTTATTGAGCACTTACTATGTGATCATGACTTTAGAAGAGACTGGGAAAAAAAGATATTATTGTTCCCATAAGAAACTTACACTGAATATGGAAAACAAGACCGACATATATGAAATAACTTAGAACTCTACAAAGTAATTTATCATCAAATGTCAAATTGTGTGAAAGACTCCAAGGACTATAAGATATTTAGAGGAAAGTCATATCAGGGAGGAGTGGAGTTGTGAAGGAATTCCATTCATTCATCCACGAATTCATTCATTCAGTAAATAATTTCTGAGCACTTAGTATATGCTAACAACTGTGCTAACACCTGGTGATAGATCCTGAATAAGACACAGCCTCTGCCCTCAGGACCATGTAGTGTAGAAAGGAGATGAAAGGAACTGAGTAATTACAATGGAGAGAGAGAATGGCTTTGATAGAGGTAGGTACTGAATGCTCTGAGAGCACACAGGAGGGGCATCCAAGGAGGCTTCCTGCAAGAAGTGTAAAGGGAGGGATCTAACAGAGGGTTTCGCTGGATGAAGTGCATATGAAGAGGGAAGAGCATTCCATGCAAAGAGAACAGCATATATATGATTCCACTACTAGTAACATTCTTGCAAAACTGAAAACAGGGACTCAAAAATATCCTTGTATGTGAATGTTCATACTATTTACAACAGCCAAAGGTGGAAACACCTAAATGTCCATCCAGAGATGAAATGATAAACAAGTTGTGATACGATAGGATATTACTCAGCCATAAAAAGGAATGAAGCACTAACACATGCTACAATATGGTTGAACCTCGAAAACATTATGCTAAGCAAAAGAAGCCAGACACAAAAGGTCACATATTGTATGCTTCCATTTATAGGAAATATCTAGAATAGGTAAATCCACAGACACACAGCAGGTTGATGGTTGCCAGGTGTTGCGGGGTGAGAGTAGTGGGCTGGGGAGTAACTGCTTAATGGGTACGGGGTTTTATTTTGAAATAATGAAAATGTTTTGGAAACAGATGGAGGTGGTGGTACATTAAGCTGTACAAAATGAATGTACAAAATGCTACTAAACTCTCACTTTAAGATGGTTAATTTTAACTTATATGAAATTTACCTCAATTAAAATTTTTAAAAAGACTAGCATGTGCAAAGACCTAGACATTAATAAGCTTGGCTCATTTAAAAAATCTTCGGTGGTCCAGTGAAACTGGAGAAGCATGAAGGGATGCAGAGGAAAAGTATTAAGAAATAAAACTGCATGTACACACTGCTATATTTAAAATAGATAACCAACAAGGACCTACTGTATAGCACAGGGAACTCTGCTCAATGTTCTGTAATAACCTAAATGGGAAAAGAATTTGAAAAAGAATAGATACATGTATATGTATAAATGAATCACTTTGCTGTACACCTGAAACTAACACAACATTGTTAATCAACAATACTCCAATATAAAATTTAAAAAAAAATTTTTATTTTATAAAAAAAAAGGGGTTATTCAATCAGATGGCATTTGCCTGGAAGGGTAAGTATGATTTAGAGAGAGGGAATGGAAAGCAAATGGAGAGAGCGGTATTGATAATGACGTGGAAAAAAGGAAGATGAGCTCGAGAGAACAAGAGAGACTTTTGGAAATCTCTTAGAAGTAGCACTGATGGGGTCATTTGTTTTCAGAGAAGCTTAGAAACAGTGATGGGCTGACTGACTTGCTGTTCCTTCCCTATAGCTGTGGATCTCCTGAAGCAGGAGGTGATATTCAATGTCGTCCGCCTGGCTGCTACCATCATCATCTGCATTGGGTTTCTGCTGATGTTATTGCCCGAGGAGTGGGATGAAATTACCCTGAGATTCATCAACAGCCTGAAGGAAAAGAAGAGTGAGGAGCATGTGGATGACATCACTGATCCCAGTGTCCACCTGAGAAGCAGAAACAGGGCCATTGGGTCTGTGTCCATACCACTGGCTTAGAGAGGAACACATTTTGAATGCACGTGTGTGTATATTCTGTGAATATAATAAAATTTTCTCACCACCTGTACACTCAAACAACAGTATTAACTCTGAATTTGCATAAGTCATATGTGAAATAATGCTAACAATAAAAGTTTACATTTATATGCTTATCAAGGAACTGGTGTAAATAATCATAATAAATTTTTTATTAAAACATATTCATACTTGTTCTATTTCTTCTGGGGTTTTTTTGGGAGGGGGGATTTTCCCCTAATTCACAAAATTTTCTAAAAATATGAGGTTCTATTAAATGATGGGCTTGTCATTACCTTTTTCTCACCTGGAACTGAGACCTTTTCATTCAATCAGAAAAAATTGCATAAGAGGAAAGTACATGAAAAGGATACACACTTTACATATATTTAAGGCCAATAAGAGCCTTCAATTTGAAAGCTGGAAAGTAATTAAGTATCAACAGAGTATCTTCCATATGCAAGACCTACACTAGGAACAATGAAGACGTAAGACTCTATCTGTACTTTCAACATGCTTACAGGAGTACAGAGCATAAAAGAGGTTAGAAATATCTCTCATATGAGGTAGACATTTGAAAATGGTATAATGGTTATGGAGAAGACATCTATTTCACCAGTTTTAGAGCTGTTTACATTTGCTGTCACTTCAAGTCCCATTCACTCTTCAACCCACCTTCTGGGCACCACCTTCTGCCCACATCATTCCTCTGGTGAAGTGCATTCACCAAAGTCACCAATGACCTTTTTCTTGCAAAACCATATTGACACTATTCAACTCTTACTTTATTGTCCTCTCTGTAGCATTTGCATGATGACCACTCCTTTTTCCTGCAATGTTCTCTTCACCTAGATCCCATTATGGTCTCCTGGTTCTCTTTCTGCCTTACTGGCTGCTCCTCTGGACTCCTCTTCCTAGGCTGGTCTCATTGCTGTCCGTGTTCAGTCCTTGTCCTTCTTAGCGTCTCACTCCACACTCTCTTCCTCAGAGATCTCATCTGCTTCCATGGCTTTCAATGTCATCCATGTGGTGATGGCTTCATAATACTTATCTCCAGCCCAGATTTGTCCCCCAGGCTTCAGATCTGACTCTCCAAATTCCTTCTGCAGGCTCATTTGGATGCCCCATTGTTCACTTCACGTTCAAGAACATGGTTAAATCTATCATCTCTCCTCCTCAGACCTGCTCCGTCCTCTCCCTTGTTGCCTGTCTAGGTTAATGGTACCATCATTCACGGGCTGCCCAAGCCAGAGATCAAACTTAACTTCTGCCTTCCTCACCCTCCACATCTAAACCATAAATCTTATTGATTACTTCCCTTAATATTTCTTGAATCCATGCACTTCTCTACAATGCTACCTATTCTATGACCCTATCATTTCCCGATGAATGAAATACTCTCTTTACTGGTCTAACTCCCAGTATTGCCTCTCTCTAATCCCTTTTGTACCCTGCAGAATGACTTTTCTAATATATAAATTTGATCATTCTACTTCCCTATATAGAACTCTTCAGTGACATCTCATTGTCCTCAGGGTAGGTTCCAAACACTTTTGCAGGTCATTCAAAGTTCATCACTGATTGGCTCCTGCCTACCTCTAGAGAAGCACCATACAGTAGAACTTTCTGTGATGGAAATATTCTATATCTGCAGTGTCCAATATAGTAGCCACAACTGGCTACTGTGCTCTTTAAATACGGCTAATGCAATCAAGGGACTGCATCTCTAATTTTATTTACTTTTAATTACTTTTAAGTTAATATTAGTTAGCCACGTGTGGCTCTTGGCTACCATATTGGACAGCACAACTTCTACCACACCACCCCCTGCAGCCCCCTGGAATCTCTATGCTTTAGTGACACCATCCTTCTTATAGTTCTTCAATCAACACATGCTCTCTTTCTTGTACTTCCTTTTCCTCTCTCATCACCCCAATAACTCTTATTCCTATTTTCGTGGAAGGTTTTTTTCTCATCCCCCAAGCTAAACAATGCGGCTTCCTTAGACACCTCTACTTACTCCATTATAGCACTGGTCGCCCTCTGTGGTCATTGTCAGTCTACTCTTCTGAGTTCCCAGTAGACCACGGGTTCCTTGAGAGCAGGGATTGTGTGGCATTCATCATTGTGTTTCTAGCATAGTGCCTGGCACTTACAGATACTCAGTAAAGGAGTGAATGGGTTGCTTTACACTGGAGGTGTGCCCCCCTGCCCCCAAGCTGTATTAGATCAGTCTTAGTTAAGGACAGACATTCTCATAGAGGAGATTGGTTAAAGGAAGGGCCAAAAGGGATTAAATGTACCACAGCCTTTGTTACCGAACTGATAAAAGGCACTTCTTTCCTAAGAGGCTGGTTATCTTAGGGCATCTAGCAATTTAAGATAATCTGCACTTTCTGGCATCCCTTGTACAATTCTTTTTTAATTCAAGTGGCCCCAGAAAGTGTAGGTGAGATGGTCATGGGGCAAGGAAAGGGAACTTCGGATATCATATCTGCTGGCTGGGTATCATAGTCAATAAAAAAACCTTACCATTTTTTCATTTCTCTGTCATTTTTTGAAAAGATAATGACAGTCTCCTGGCATTGGTAGATGGCATGATATTAATTAAAACAATAATCATGACACACTTCAAACTTCATGAAAAATGGTAGAAAATAAATGAAGTGTATTATTAGTAAATATGAATTAATTCATTACCTAAGTAGAGTTGGTTTTGAATATTTAAATGTCATAATGGTACAAACATTGCTCTTGCCTTGTTTTTAAATTGCTGTTAAATAGCAGTAATCACTGACTAACCCACTCCAGCATCTTGCCATTACTTAGCATGGCATTTAAAATTACATTTTGGGGCTTCCCTGGTGGCGCAGTGCTTGAGAGTCCGCCTGCCGATGCAGGAGACGCGGGTTCGTGCCCCGTTTCGGGAAGATCCCACATGCCGCGGAGCGGCTGGGCCCGTGAGCCATGGCCACTGAGCCTGCGCGTCCGGAGCCTGTGCTCCGCAAACGGGAGAGGCCACGACAGTGAGAGGCCCGCATAACGCAAGAAAAAAATAAAATAAAATAAAATAAAATTACATTTTGACGTCTTTAAGAAATGAGCTGTTTTGCTCTTTTTGATAATTCATTTTGAAAAATTGAGTCAGCTACCCTGGAAAGCACTAATTCAACCTATAACTAATCAGCCTAATTAGCTCAGTCTATATTAAGAAAATACTTCCGTTATGGTATTCATTCATTTATTCATTCAAAAATTACTAAGCCGACTTCTCGCTCTGAAGCAGGGTATTATGTTAGATTGTCACCCACTGGCCTCTCCCTGCCTCTAGAGCAGCACTGATAGAACTTTCTGTGATCATAGAAATGTCCTCTCTTTGCACTGTGGTGAAAGGGATACAAAATGGATAGGAAATGGTCCCTGCTTCCAGGCATTTCAACCTTTAAGTTGTTACCATGGCAATTAAAACAACAACAATCACAACTCAGACACTTGTTTAAGTCAGTTTCCCTTTAACTCAGGTCAAGTATTCATAAATAAAGATAGTAATACCTTTCCTTACTACCCTCCATGGTCGCTGGGAGAGTCAGTTGAGATAGCGTGTTTCAGTCACTGAACAAACCGGGGTGGGCCTCCTGTGTCCCTATGACGTGCCTTCCTTGAGCCAGGTTCAGTTGGGTTTGCAAGGTACTGACAAAGTGCCGGCCCTCGTGGTGGAAGTACCTTGTTGAGGTTCCTATTATCCTGTCTCTTTATCCAAACTTGGCTCCTCCCCAGAGTCCAAGAGGTGATAGATTCTGTGGGTGACTGAATGGGCAGCACAGTGCAGGGATTGAGGGCACCCATGTTGTAGCCCCGACTCTGTACTTCTGAGACGCGGTCTTTAGTGAATTACCAACATCTCTCAGCCCCTTGATCTCATGTTCGGTACAATGAGGATATTAATACCTATCATTTGGGGTTGTTGAATATAAGTTATTGTTAGGATTTCCTATGTCTGTTTACCTCCCTCCAGGACTCCTTCAAACCACTTATCCACAGCACTATGCCAAGCAAAGTCACAGAGCCTGGTGCCGAGCAGGGATTTTTACCCAAAACAATGAGGGAGAAAAAAGAAGCTTGGCATGAGGAACACTAGGAGGAAGCCAAAAAAGGGGTGCCATCCCCATTGGTCAGTTCCCCCACCCCCGCCCCCGGCACTTTGCATCACGGCATTCTTGCCCAGCCAGTGGAACTAATTGCCTGACAAAAAGACAGACTGGTGACTCAGGCTTTGAAATTAAAATCACTTCAACCACTTCCTGATCGCTTCACAAACACATTATAGGCAAATCAATTTTGCTCACCCAGGCTTTGCACGCCTGTTAATTTTGTGCAGGCACTTTGTCAAGATCCACCAGAGGACAAATGATTTGGAGGTCAATGCAAGTGATAAAAGAGTGAACAGTGTAACCAGCCAAGCATTTGAATGTTTCTGATATTCAAGTACAAATCCTCTTTCTTACTTTTCAATAAACCCTTGTCACAAAGACAAAGAACACTAGCGCAGGCAATGCTGGTTTTATCTGGCAAGCTAGGACAAGAAGTCTCTATTAATTCTAATTATTTTTACTTCTCTCCCACCACCACCTGTAGCAACTGGAGGTAAAGTTAAGAACAGGAGGTGATGATGTGGAGGTGGTCATGCCAAGAACCCAGAGACAGAAAGAGCAGACGCCCTGCGTTTTGAAGCACTGATTAGTCAGTGTGCTCCCACACGTGTCACAAAAGCAAAAGCTGCTTTGTCATTATTTGCAGGAGGTAGGAACCCCGGATCCTTTGGGAACTTGAGGGATCTTAAGAGCGAGAAATCTAACCTGGGCTCTCTGACAGAATTTTCAGAATAGTGTGAACTTAGCTGCATTATCCTGGGGGAATCAATTCAGAGAATTTAGAGGCAATAAATCCACAATTGTTCAGTACACTAGCCACTAGTCCCATGT